TAGTGTTCCATTGCATAAATGTACCATAGTTCACAGTTTAATTTTGATGTGGTCAAATATATCTATTTTTTATTTTTTTACCTGTGTTTTTGGCATCATAACCAAGAAATCATTATCAAGTCTAATATCATGAAAATTTCCCCCTTTGTCTTCTTCTAAGAGTCTTGAATTTTTAGCTATTAAGCTTAAGCCTTTAATCCATTTTGTTAATTTTTGTATATGATATAATGCAAAGATCCAAATTCATTCTTCTGCATGTGGATATCCAGTTTTCCCCGCACTAATAGACTCAAAAGACTCTTTTTATCATTGAGTCATCTTCACACTCTTTTCCAAGATTATTTGACCATATATATGAGAGTTTGTTTCTGGCCTCGCTATTCTATTCCATTGGTCTCTAATCTATCTTTGTGCCAGTCTCACATTGTTTTGTTACTATAGAGTTGTGGTAAGTTTTGAAATCATAAAGTGTAATTCTTCCAATTTTGTTCCTGTTTGCAATATGGTTTTGGCTATTTGAGATACTTTGATATCCCATGTGAATTTTAGGATGGCTTTTCCTATTTCTGCAAAAAAGAAAAATCATTGGGATTTTGATAGAATTACACTGAATCTGCAGATCACTTTGGGTGTTATTGACATTGTAGCAACATTAAGTCTTCCAATCCATGCTCTCAAGACGTGTTTCTGTTTAGTTATATCTTCTTTAATTTCTTTCAGAATTTTTTGGGGGTTTTTAATCATATAATTTGTTTACCTCCTTGATTAATTCCTGAGTATTTAATTCTTTTCAATGCTACTGTAAATGGAATGTTTTTTTAAATTTTCTTTTCATATTATTCATAATACATAGAAATGCAACTGATTTTTGTGTGTTGATTTTACATGTACTACTTTGCCAAATTAATTTTTTAGTTCAGACAGTTTTTTTGGTGGAATCTTTAGGGCTTTCTATATTTAAGATCATATAATCTGTGAACAGAGATAATTTTATTTATTTTCAATATGAATGTCTTTTATTTCTTCTGGTTAGGATTTCCAATATTATGTTTAATAGAAGTGGAAAAAGTCGTCATCCTTACCTTATTCCTGATCTTAGAGAAAAGGTTTTTCATCTTTCACCACTGAATATGTTTACTGTGGATTTTTCAGGTATAGCTTTTATTATGTTGTGGTAGTTTTTGTTTATTTTTAGTTACTGAGTATTTTATCATGCAAGGATATTTCATTTTGTCAAATGACTTTTCTCCATCAATTAAGATGATCACATGTTTTTTCTCCTTTGATTTTGTTAATGTGGTATATTACTTTGATCAATATTTTTATGTTGGACCATCTTTGCAATCCAGGATTAATCCCCTCTTGACTGTGATGTATAATCCTTTTAATATGCTATTGAATTGTTTAACAGTATTTTGTGGAGGATTTCTGTATGAATGTTCATATGGGGATATTAGTCCATAGTTTCTTATCTTTTCTTGCCTTTGCCTGGTGCTGGCATTAAGGCAATGTTGATCATTTTTTGCCCAGTTTATCAGTTTCATTTTACACCTGTGCTGTTGAATAGTCCAAAAAATTTCAGGGGGTTTTATTTGAAGATGCCTTGATCAGTTTGCTTCTTTCTGAATCTCAGCATTACATCTTCCTGCCACCTTAGCCTCCCTGAAATGTATTATGTTTTCTCAATTTAGCCAGGCATTTTGAGGTTTTGTTTGTGTTCTCTATTCCTCTCCCCATAATAACAAATTACCCCCAGAAAACAACTGTAGGATGTGCCTCATTGATATTCTTGTCTCCATTTTCTAAAGTTAAAAGAAAAGGTTATTTCACGTATTTTTCTTGTTTTATCATTGTTTATTGATGTGAGGTCCCATTCCTGTTACTTCATCATAGCTGGAATCAGAAGTCCCATACAGTGTTTGGGTTTCTAATGTTAAGAGAAAAGCAGTTAAGGAAAATTGTTAGCTACCCTATTATCTTTGTAGTGGTAATTTATGCTTATGATCAGGGGGAAGCAGAGCTACTATTACAGAAGGAAGGTAGGAAAGAATATGTTTGTTTATAGCATTTGGTTGATTTCAGTTGGTCTGGATTGACTGAATGCTTATCTTCAGAGTTATTACCCTTGGTAAATGCTGCAGAACCTATTAACTAAAGATATATGGTGCTATAAAACCATGGATCTGTGAGTTGTTACAGACAATAAGTACAGCCTATCTTCATTGCTTATTAATGATTATTTTAGCTAAGACTAACATCGCATTTTGGTGGAGACTGGGAGTAGGGAATTTTAGGGTTCAAAAATAAAGTCTGGTCACAGAGTAAAATTGATTTATATGAACAGTTCGACATGAGACCCCTACCATGGGAAGATATGGGGGTTCCTAATACTGGGGTGCTTCACAAAACACTGGTGGTGGTTTGAGACCTCAAGACAATGCATATCCTGTGTGATGGGACCCAGTGGTAGGTAGACCAAAAACTTGCTCCTGAGAACTCCAAATCCCTTTTAATGCATATTCTGCTGCTGCTACTGTTCTATGCCTTGTAATAAAGCTGTTCTGTGAGTATAAACTAGTAAGTTTTATGAGTCATTCTTACAATCAAATACTTAAGTTTATTTGTATATAATTTGCATAATTTGGCACCCAGGTGATCTACTGGGGCTTCATTTCTCAATTAAAAAAATAAACTTTATTGAAATGCCATTTACATACAGTAAAATGCAGCCATTTAAGGTATGCTTTGAAGCATTTTAAAAATATATATAACATGTAACCACTGCCACATTTAAGATGTAGAACTTTTCCATGACTTGGTTCCAAAAGCTCCCTCTTGTCCCTTTGACATTCCCCTTGTCAGATATTAAGAGCAAATGGAAAGATATAACATCCATGGATTGAAAAGTCATGGTGATAAAGGTCTTACATACTTCAGGAATAAGGATCTCAGTCATTACACTAGTTGAGCTGCATAGGCTCACAGAGATGCTGCTCTGAGGACAAAAGCTGAAAGTGAGAAAATCAAGAATGGGTAGGAGAAGGGGGAAATGCTAAGTATTAGTTGTATCCTTAAGATTAGCTGTTATGTCACCAGGAAACAGAGCATCAGGTCTCCTAGATTAACTCACTATACAATGTATGTGGATCAAGCAGTGCACAGGATGGTTTATAGCAAACATTATGGTAGGCCACTCAGGTCTCCCTTTAAGACTAAGGCACCCATTCCCCAAGTTGTTGGGAACATAGGTGGTTAAATTTCTCAGCTGAGTGCCTTCATAATAGATGTCCTCAGCCAAAGGAAAGGTCATGCATCAGCTTTAGGTACAAGGGCAGCCTGTACCAATGACTGTCCTTGTGGTGGTATAAAGGCCTACCCCACCTACCTCATGGTGGTGAAACCTTCAAGAACCATCCTAATTTCTTGCAGGACTGACCTTTGTTGTTGCTTCATTACCTTGCAACAACTTTTCCTACTAAATGCTACTTCTTTCACTTGACTATTGGTGTTGATCCCAAATGTATACCTAATAAATTTCCTGAATACAGTCTTAGAGTCAGTTTCCCAAAACCTAATCTAAGACAGCACTTAATTATGTGGTTTACCAAAGAGGGGGCCTCCTAAAGTTTAACAAGAAGTTACTACAATTGTTAATAAGCAGATAAATTAAAGATGACCTAAGTAAATGGATCAATACCCATAGTCATAGTTTAGAAGTCTCAATATATCAATAGTGTTCAAGCAAAATCCCAGCAAGTCTTTTTAAAACTATAAGTTGGTAGGTAATTCTAAAGTTTATATGAAGAAATAATAGAAACTTCTGGATCCCTGTTAAACTTTTTACTCTAGTCCAAGAATGGATTAGTCCTGCTACATTCTGGGGAGAGGAGGGACAATTGACAGAATTTGGTTAACTTCCAGTAGTTCTACTCACAGGTTAAATAACTCTCTTTTCTTATTACAGATATGAAGCACTGCCCTCCAAACAACCCTCCACTATTTCCACAGGCAGCGAATTATAATGAAAAGAAATATGTGCTGAAATATAAAATATTTCACACAGGTACTGAGGAAAAGTGTCACTGAGGTACTGAGGAAATCTAGATGGTCCTAGAGGCTCATTTCCAACCCTCCCCTTTCAGTAGTTCAGCAGAGAGATGGCTCAGTAGGTCTAAGTTTGCATAACCAGACGGTCTAAGACTAATCATTTCCTTGATTCTGCAGCCACTTTTGTTTTATAGTCACATAAATGTTTCTTACTTTTCCTCCAATAAAAGTAGAGCATTACACTAGCAGGGAGTTCCTCTCTGTAAAACACTGGCCCTGATACCTGCAGTCTAGCCATTCCTGGCCTAGACACAGCATTCCATGGAATACAGAGAATCCAGAGGTTTGCCTATTGTCTTTTAAATTCTGTCCTTAGTAAGCCTCATTCTACACCTGTGCTTTGTGGTACTAGTCGCCTGTCCAGGCCCCTTTTTAGAGCTGATAATTTCCAGCACAGACTACCTAAACTTCATCCAGGTTCCTCTTAGTTTAAAAATTCCATTGTTTGGAATATTATTTTCCAGGTTCTTGTTCTGTGCTTTTCCGTAAATTGAATGGAATAGGGTTTTCAGGAAGAAAACGGCACTGGTGTGAGAGGTAGAAAAAAGTGTTCAGTGGGGGTGGATGAGTAAGATGAAACTAAATTGTGTTTACAAGGATAACATAAAGAACATATAACTGTTAATAAGAGCAAGAATATTCCTTAGGTTTGTTCCAGCATTCTCATGACGCCAAGGAAAGATCTATGGAAAATATATACAGAAAGACTCCTGAGCTCAGATATGATCTCAGGCTATGGCATGTCATGTTGGGACCTGTCTCTGACAAATATAGCACAGAGTCCTCTTGGGTGACGCAAGGTTTAGCTGCAAATGTGTTTGAGATTTTATAATATGTGAAACTGACACCTTGTTGTTTTTCCTATGAAGAGATTTTGATTTCAGATTGGCCAGAAAAAAATATTCCACTGGCAGGCAATAGATGGAAGCTCTGGTTAACAGAGTGCCCACTTTGGCTGTATATTACCTGTTCCTGACTATTGGTGGAAGAACACTACTAAATCACCTTCAGACACTGAGACGACTTTCGGAAGAACCAGAAGGAAATTTTCTCTGCATCCTGGAGCTCAAGTAAGTGATCAAATTGTGAATAATGATCAGGGACAAGGCTATACTCCATCTTCTAAATCATGGTATTAGTGGTTCTTTTAGTTCTAATTCCATAATGCCTTGCCAATCTTCTCATCACAGAAAAGTGGTATCTAAAATGTAGAAAGTTAATAGACAGTGCAGTGTTTCAAAAGAGAAGATCTGCTTTCAGTTTTTTTAATATTGGATTGCTAATAATTAAAAACTAGTCCTCTCTGCCCTGGGACCCAGAAATGGCATCCCTTAGCCAATCTGTTTTGTAAATAACTCAAAGAAAGCTTACATTGATGCCAATGCTTTAGACCTGATATAAATGGTACAGTTATTAAATGTAAATACTGCCTAACAGGCTATTATTAACATTTTAATTGTATTTTAAAAGTTGACTTTACAAAAAAACAGATTTATTGAGGTATAGTTGACATGCAACAAACTGTACATGTTTAAGGTGAATAATTTGTTTTATATATGTATATACCTGTGAAACTATCACTAATCAATATAATAAACATATCCATCACTCCCAAAATGATGAAAAATTCAAGTACTTTTGTAATTATTCCTTCTTCTCCATTTTCCCCCCTCTGGCAACCACTGATTTACTTTTATAGAGATTATTTGCAATTTCTAGAATTTTATATTCATGAAGTCACACAGTATGGACCATTTTTTTCTGCCTGACTTCTTTAACATAGCACAATCCTTTCGAGATTCCCACAAGTATAGAAACAGCTTATTCCTTTTTTATTGTTTTATATGTTACATCATATAGATGTAGCATTACTTGTTTGTCCATTCATCATAAATAAAATTTTGAATTATTTCCAGTTGTTGACTGTTACAAATAAAGCTATTCTTAGCTCTTGGATATAAGTCTTAATATAGCCATATCCTTTTATTTCTCTTATAGTTGGCTTTAAAAATGAATATTTGTCTTTCACAGATTTAAGGTTTTTAAGTTGCTGATTCTGAATAGGAGTGGTAAAGGAAGGAGGTACCAGAGCAGCTATAAGTCATCTAGAGATTAATACATCTCTTTAGAAATTATAATCTTTTTTCTGGGTGCTATGCCAACATAATTCCACAAAATGGGATATGAATAGTCTAATGGGCAAGTGTTGCTGATAATCATTTTTCATATCTGTCAGATACATAAAATATTAAATTATAAATTACCATAATTTTAATTGTTTTCATATTGGCTTTATACAGGCCAAATAGTTTTCAATAGTAGATAGATTTTGTTAGTGTCAAGGACCATAGGAATTTCTTCCTTCAGATCTTGACTCATTTCTTTAGCACATGGCTATGATTTTAATGAAGTCCTACATCTCCCTTTAAGATATATATATTGTCTGAGCAAATTATGGTTGTTGGTTTTATGTATTTTTTTTTTACTTATTGACCCTGTGAATCAACTCATGTTTGTGACTATGAATTAGAGTAGGTTGCCAGATAAAACACAGGATGTCCAGTTACTATTTCAGCAGCTTTTCCTTTTTAATAAATAATACATAAAATTATTAACAAGCTTTCTCAGTTCTACCACAATTTGGTTTTGTCTTAATTGTTCAAAGAAATGAATTTTAAAAAATACTTCCCTTACTTTGCCATGCACATTTATGCGTTTATGCATTTGTGCCATTTTTTAATTTCCTCCCCCAATTCTTTAACTTAGAATATTCTTTCTGCTCCATTTTACAATGTTTTGTATCTGTCACACTTTTCTTCAAGTCACTCTGACAATCTCTGTCTTTTAATTTGTTATACCTATTGGAGAAAATGGTCATTTAGTAGGTTAGGTTACAAAGTGAGAGAGAAAAAGTGAAGTGTGATTTAGTGGGTGAAAGGGACTGGAAAGACCTTTTCTGATCAGAACACTTTTGGGGACAATGTCATTTTCTTGAACACTGAGACATTGTTCCTTTTCATGTTTTTTATTTAATTTCATGTACCTTGACAATTCCTACCAATGTTTCATAGACTATGACTTTCTTCTTGTCTTTTTTCCAGGCATAATGAAACCTAAATGCTCTTTTTTTTCTGGGTATTATGTGGGCTTTCTTCTCCTACAAGTGATCACATCAGCATCAGGTGAGAACATCTATTTTTTTCTTACTGAATCACAGCTATGGAAAGAACCTAGGGCGGGCTTCCAGTGTCCAGTTCAGCATGTGAAGAGCTTGGAAGTCATCACTGCATCCTGACATCAAGTTAAAAAGCTGAAAAAAATTAAAAATCAAAAACTCTTTTTGGGTCCAACAGGGGAGTGAGGTCATAAGACAAGTTGCTGTCCCCAAATGGGTGAGTTAGAGAAATATCAGAGGTAGAAACTCAAAACCTGCGGACCAGAACACTCCCTGAGAACCAGCACCAGGGTAGGAAGATCTAAGCTGTAATTACTGAATTGCTGGGGGCTCACTGTGGACCAGTCTGAGTTAAAAACTCCAAAAAGGCCGAGTCATGGGAGAACTAACTTTTGTGAATTTTACCTCCAGGATTTTACTAGGATCTTACAGTGAATATTGGAGGGGGGAAAAAAAACCTTTATGTTTTAGGCAGAGGGAGGAGAAAAGTAACCATCTTTGAAATTATGGTCTTCTTAACAAGGGTTGCCTGCGAGAGAGACTACTTTCCCAGAGCCTAAACTGTTAGTGCCTCATCAGGGTCTAACTACTTCGTGGTAAAGAAATATCCAACTTCAGCCCACCTAGGGGTGAGGGGGAGACTGAAATGCACTTATGAAGTTCACAGCCAGGAACACAGGCTCAATAAAAGACTGAGGTCTAATCACGGGACTGAAGAACACCATCTCCCCCCTACACTTATCCCATCACTAAAAACCTTTAACCAGAGTTTCTTTTACCCATTCTATCATGTTTGGCTTTCAACAAAAAGTTGCAAGGTATACTAAAAGGCAAAAAATGCAGGTGAAAGGGACAGAGCAAACATCAAAACCAAACTTGGATATGGTAACATTTTAGAATTATCAAATTGGGAATTTAATATAAAAATTATAATTAGTATACTAAAGGCTCTAATGGAAAAGCAGGTGACATGCAAGACCAGATGGGAAATGTAAGCAGACAAATATGAATTCTAAGAAAGAATTTTAAAACTCATAGAGGTTAAAAACATTGTAACAGGAATGAAGAATGCCTTTCATGGACTCATAGTAGATTAGATGTGAATGAGGAAGGAATCTCTTGAGTTTGAAGATATATAAATATAAACTTTCAAAACTGAAAAACAAATAGAAAAGGAGTTTTAAGAGAAAGAGAAAATCCAATAGCTGTGATACAATATAAAAAGCATGATACACATTTAATGAGAATAAACAGAGGAGGAGGAAAAGAGAAAGGAATAGAAGAAATATTTGGAACAATAATGACAGAGAATTTCCCTAAATTAATGCAGGCACCAAACCATAGATCCAGGAAGCTTAGAGAACACTAAACAGGATAAACACTAAAACAAAACAAACAAACAAAAAAAACCCCTAAAAATTACATTAAGGTATATCATATTAAAACTGCAGAAAATGAAAGAAAAGTTCTTGAAAGAAGCAAGGGTGGGGGCTCAGCTCACTTACAGAGCTTACAAGAAATGTTAGAAGAAGTTCTGCATCTCTGTCCCTCCTACCAGCCTGAATGGGTACGGTTTCTCCTTTAGTTATCAGATTTCCGTTCAACTTGATTCCTAATGGTTCTGAGTGATGGTTGGTCTAGTTCCATTGTAATTTTGATGTGGTTGTGCAAGGAGGTGAGCTGTGTTTACTTATGCCTCCCTCTTGACTGGAAATCCTAAAAATTTTTCGTTATTATAAGGTATTCCCATTACCTATAAAACAGTATAGTGTTGTTTATCAAAACACCTATTTGGAAACAACTCTATTTTTCCCTCCTTTCAGTCACAAAAAAAAAAACTATCATTCTACCCTCTGCTTCTATGAGTTTGACTACTCTAGATACCTCATATAAGTGGAATTGTGCAGTATTTGTCCTTCTGTAACTGGCTTATTTAATTTAATATATTATCTTCCAGGTTCATTCATGTTGTAGCACATGAAATTTTATTTTTTAAGGCTGAATAGCATTCCCTGTTTTGTATCTGTCACACTTTTCTTCTTGTAAAGCTGATACTCTATATTAAAAGTGGGTTTCTTATAGACAACATTTCATCGGGTCTTGTTTTTTCAAGTCACTCTGACAATCTCTGTCTTTTAATTGGTGTACTGAGACCACTGATGTTTAAAGTAATTCTTGATATAACTGGATTAATATCTAACATGTTTGTTGCTGTTTTCTATTTATTATCCTTGTTCTTCGATGTTATTCTTTTTTGCCATGTGTGGTTCTATTTTCTATCAAGTATAAATTTTCATTGTGGTAAAATACAGATAAAATAACATTAACTATCTTTACTAATTTTAATTGCACAGTTCACTAATATTAAATACATTATGTTGTGCAATCATCATCATTTTTTCCTCTTGCATGGATTATCTTTTTCCATCATTTCACTTTCAATTTATTTGAGTTTGTGAATCTAAGTAAGTCTTTTGCAGATAGGATATGGTTGTATGGTGTGTTTTTGGAAGTAATGACTTACTTTGGTCATTTTTAATTTTTTTTGTATGACATTTAGCTTTGTTGTCTCTCATTTTCTTCATTGCTTTCTTTTTTTAAAAAATTTATTTATTTTTAGAGAGAGGGGAAGGGAGGGGGAAAGAGAGGGAGAAAAACATCAATGTGTGAGAGAGACATCGATTGGTTGCCTCTCGCATGCCCCCAACTGGGGACCTGGCCCACAAACCAGGCTTGTGCCCTGATTGGGAATCGAACCGGTGATGTTTCTGATCACAGGCCAGCACTCAATCTACTGAGCCACGCCAGCCAGGGCGACCTTCTTTTTTTATGTCTAGTTGATTGTTTGTATTGAAACATTTAAATTCCTTCCTTATTTCCTTTTTTACATATTCTTTAGTTATTTTCTTTGGAGTTATCATGGGGATTGCATGTAAAATCCAAAAATAATAATACTCTAATTTGAATATATAACAGCTTAACTTTAAAAATATAAAAAACTCTTTTTCTTTAACTGCTTTGTACCTATCCCTTTTACTTGTTGACAGTAAAAAATTACATCTTTGTGCATTTTGTGCCCTAAGACACAAACTAATATCTCTTTTAATTGCATTAGTCTCTTATATTATATAATATGAAATGTAGACTTATAAACCAATGTTACAATAGTGTTAGCTTTTAGACTAATAAGTTTTTGAAAAATGTATTAGTCTCTTAAATGACATAGAAAACAAAAAGTAGAGCTGGAAATTATTGTTACACCCTGGCCAAGTAGCTCATTTGGTTAGAGTATCATCCCCATACACCAAGGTTGTGGGTTCAATCCCCAGTCATATTTCTCTCTCTCTTTAAAAAAAAAAAAAATTGATAAATGAAAAAGAAACCATTGTTATAACAATAATAGCTTTTACCATCGCTCATGTATTTACCTTTATTTAGTACTTCATTTCTTCAGTTTCAGGTCACTGTTAACTCCCTTGAGCATTATTTTTGTTGTTGTAGAGCAGATACAGTGGTTACAAGCTCCCTCACATTTTTCTGGGAATGTCTTAATTTCTTACTCACCTCTGGACAATTTGCTGGACATAGGATTCTTGATTAACAGTGTTTAGTTTTTTGTTTTGTTTTGTTTTGTTTTGTTTTTCTTTCAGCACTCTGTATATATTTTTCCCTGCCTTTGGTTTCCAAAGTTCTGATGAGAATTCTGCTTATAATCCCTCGTATGTGATGAGTTGCTTCTTCTTTGCTGCTCTCAAGATTTTGTCTTTGTTCTTTGAAAGTTTGATTTGAAAATGTCTATTTGTGATTCTCTTTGAGTTTATCTTAATTAGATTTTATTGAACTTCATGGATGTTTAGAGTCATGTCTTTTATTACATTTGGGGAGTTTTCAGCCTATTATACCAAACATTCTCTTTGTCTCATTCTCTCTCTTCTCCTTTTGGGACTCCCACAATAAATATATTGGTCTAGTCAATGATGTCCCACAAATCCCTTAAGCGCTGGTCACTCTTCAATCTTTTTTCTTTCTGTTCCCCAGATTTAATAATTTCCATTCTCCTGCTTTCAAGTTCACTGATCTTTTTCTTTCTGTTTAAATCTGCCTTTGTAACCCACCAGTGAATTTTTCATTTCTGTTGTGTTTTTTAGCTCCAGAATTCCTTTTTATTTTCTTTTCAGGTTCCTAGGTTATTATTTATATTTTCATTTTGTTCATACATTTTTTTCTTGATTTCTCACCTCTTCCTGTAGTTTTATTTGAGCATCTTAAGACAGGTCTTTTAAAGTCTTTACTTATAGATTTGCCATCAGGTCTTTTTTCACAAGTTTCTGTTTGTCTTTGTCCTTGCAATGTGCCATATTTTCCTGTTTCTTTGTATATTTTGTGAATTTTTTAAATGAAAACTGGACACTCAAAATCCCCTCCTTTTGCAGGGATTTTTGGCTTTTTGTTATTGTTTTATTTTCTTTGTTTTGTTTTATTTTATTGTTGTAAGCTGTCTGTGTGCCAAGGATCACTATAAGGTATAAACTTCAGATCTCCTCAGGTTTTTATAAGGCTGTCCCTTTTCTTGGGCATGTGTGGTCCAAACTTTCTAATTTCCCCCATATATGCACTTGCTTTTGAATATTCTAATCTTTAATGTCTGCTTCCCAAAAGGAGAAAAGAGAAAAATGAATTGTTACCAAACAGCATGTGGGGTGCTAACCACCCGCTGCCACCCTCTAGGGAAAATTCCAGAGGCAAAGGTTTGGTGATAAAGGAAAGGAGTCTTATTCAAAAGCTATACAATTTTGGAGTAACAGCTTTCCACATGCATTAGTCACTTAAGGCTATCAATTGAGGAGAAAATCTTTAACTCTTTAGTTACAGCTTTAACTACTTAAACCTATCAATTAAGGCTAAACTCTTTAGCTACCATTCCCCCTGTTGGTTTTTAATTATCTAATTTCTACAGAATTAGTTTACATACTAAAACAATATAAGGTAACACAAGCTACAAAACTTTAGAAGAATGGCAGTCTTCTCCCTCAGAGCCCATCCCTTCTAGAACACCCGAAGAAAAATAACCTTGCCACCTTCTACCAGGCCAGCCTGATCCTAGGCTGTGCCTGGAGTTTCTTCTCCCATCCAAAATCCAAAATATCCTCCTTTGGGAAATGCAGGCAGTTGCAGCACGGTCATGTAGGCACCCTCAAGGAAGAGCGCCCAAGAGCCAGTCTCTGCCCTCCTTTTATTTTAAATCTTCTGGCCAGCGATTCCACACGCTCAGGAAGGGTTCAGCTTCTCAGTCAGTCCCTTCCTAGACTCCTAGACTGTTTATCACTGCAACCTCTTCCTACAGCCCTACAGTCCCGCCTTAATCTTCCCCAGTGATCTGATCAGGTCTTTCTGTATCAGAAGGAGTGAATGAAAAAATTCTGACTCTTTAAATTCCCTGGTTGTCACTTCAGTTAGAGAGGGGAAGAGCTTGAAAAAACAGGAGAAGTTACATCACCACGACCACTTGTCTCTTTGGCTTCCAATATCTATGGTTGGAAGCAACAATCAGTGAGCACAGCACAGATCCCCAGTACTTGAAGGACAGGGTTTTTTGGTTTTGTTTGTTCTGTTTTTTGCCTGCTCTGGCTCCCATAAAATATATGAACACTGCTCCAGGGAGAGTTGCACAGCCGCCTGTCCTGGGGCTGATAGTTGGAAATGGGTAGGTGTTACTGTGGTATGAACTGAAATTGACCAAAATTAATACAATTTACCATCCAAACTTCCCCCTGGAAGTTGAAGGCCTCCAATAGACTAAGTTCCAAAATACTTACCTCAGGGAAATTCTGCCAGTGCAATCATTGTCTAAGTAGGAGTCATATCCCTGGTGCTGTCTGCGCTGCCATCTTCCCAGAACCCAAGTAAGTATATTTTAAAGAGAATAATGTAGTAACATTGGTCTTTTCAATAAATAAAATATTGATTTAAACATAAGGGGATATATTCAGAGCTGGACATTTAAAATGGCAAGGTCAGATGGGAAGAATACAGTATGTCCTTGAATATATAGCAATAGAGATGCTGTTGGCCTCAAATTTATCCTAGTTTTTTTATCTTTCTCTACAGAAAAGTGGACCGTTATCACTCCCACAGGACACTTGGTGGCTACAGTAGGAGGGCAGGCTGAGCTTAGCTGCCAGTTGTCCCCACCACGAAGTGCAAAACACATGGAGGTGTCCTGGTTCAAGGGTAATCATTCCAAGCTTGTTCACCTATACAGAGATGGCCGTGAAGTGACTGGGAATGTTACCCCAGAATATATGGATCGCATAGAGTTTGTGAAAGAGGCCATTGGGGATGGCAAAGTGACTCTCAGACTTCATAATGTCAGCATTTCTGATAATGGACCATACCAGTGTTCGTTTAAGGACAGTGACTTCAGGGATGTGGCCAGCATGAACCTGAGTGTAGCAGGTAGGTTTATGGTAGAACATGCATATCAATGGCCTTGTGGCCCCATGAACTGAAATATGTGGAAAATATATTATTATTTTTCTATTTCTTGTCTCTTTTACATTTTTCAAAATACTTTGTGTTGTAAATAGCAAGGAACCCTCTTCTATTTACTGCAAAAATATACTATGCAATACATAAACAGTGTTGGGTGACCAAATATAGTCTAATTTGTAAGCTGGATATGGATTTGAGTATTTACCCCTTCTTACATTGCAGAAAACAAGATTAATAAGACACTTTAACTTTCAACTTTCTTTTTTTAATAATAGCTTATTTTTTATTTTATTTTTACATTATCATTTATCCCCTTTATACCCTTTTCCACCCCCACCCAGTCCTCTCCACCCCCTCAATCACCACACTGTTGTCCGTGTTCATAAGCTTTTGTTCTTTTTAGCTTGATCTCTCTACCCCAACCCCATCTCCAGAGCTGTGAGTCTGTTCTCTATCTATGACTCAACCTCAGTACAATAACTATCTTGATTTCTATCTCATTTACCCAGCATTAGGCTTGGAGACACAGATCTATATTGAGGAACTTAGTACTGGTGGACTTATGGTGGAGTGTAACTCAGGAGGTTGGTTCCCACAGCCCCAGATGGAGTGGAGAGACAACAAGGGAGAGGTAGTTCCATATTCATCAAAATCCTATTCACTGGATGGAGCCGGATTATTCTATATGAAGATGATTCTTTTCCTCAGAAGTGCATCACAAAGCAATGTGATTTGCTACATTCACAACCCTCTGTCAGGTGAAGGGAAGCAAATAAATATCTCTTTAGCTGGTGAGTGTTTGGTAGGGTTTGGTTGTCAATAAAGCAACATATAGAGAAAATAAATGAAATAATTAATGTTAAAAAGCTTTGTACATTATCAAGCAGTATTTGAATGTGACTCTTTAAAACTGTTTATGGATTTTGGTATACAGATATTGTCAGGTGCTGACAGGAAGGCTTTATATTTTTTTTTTAATTTACTTTTTTAGGGACAGGAAGGAAGGAAGAGAGAAACATCAATCTGTGGTTGCCTCTTGAGCACCCCCTACTGGGTACCTGGCCCACAAGCTAGGCGTGTGCCCTGACTGGGAATCAAACCAGTGATCCTTTAGTTCACAGTCCAGTGCTCAAGACACTGAGCCACACTAGCCGGGTCTGAGAGGAGGGCTTTAGAAGATAAAAATTAATTAGAAGAATAATGACAATCCATAACCAAAATATACATTACAGCTGTAAAGGGAAGGTCATTATCTCATTAGACCCTCACAATATTGCTCACACAAGAATATCCAAACCTGTAGAGAATTTTTTTGAGTTTATTTGAGCTGAACATGCCTGGAAATAAGATTTCAAATGCTCACAAGAATGACATTTTTTCCATTCTTTTTATACATTTGGAATTGAGGAAACATGAGGAAAATTACATGGAGGTGGGAGAAAGCAAGCGGGGGGAATTGCCATGATTAGGTTACATGGTAGTTAACAAGACTGTGATCCATTGAGTGTGGTTATGCCTCTCAGGAGTCTGAAAAAGAATATTAGTCTGGTGTTTCAAAGGTCTGTTAATCTAGATGCACAAGAACAATGGATATGTCTTGATTAAGGAGAAAATATACCTTTTACTAAAGAAGTTATAGGCCTAGGGTATAATTACTCACCATGACCTGCCCAGTTAGGACTTTATGATCAAATCACCCTGTGAGGTTACTTTTGGTCACTGATTTATTACAGAACCCCATTTTCATTCATGATGTTCATGTGTAACCTTAACAAGTTTTTAGCTCAGTGACTTAAAGGATGTCACTCACCTTTCTGACTATAGTTTTCTCATCTTAGATGTATAATCATACTTCATGGGTTTTTGTGACATGTTGTAGTATAAATGTATTAGTAGAAGCAAAAATCTTTGCTTACTGTTATTTAATATTCAGTACTAACACTGTCCTTAGAACTTCCTGAATATTCAGTTAGAAAGGATTACTATGGCTTTTTATAGGTAAATAGATGTTGAGAGAAGCCAGTCAAATCAACAGAAAGTAAAATATGGAACTAAAACACAGGTTTTCTGACTGTTGGTCAATATATCACTGTCAGAAGCATAGAGGCTGGACATCAGAAGCATTAGGAACAGGCTATGTCCTATGTGTGACAAAGGTACCCTTAGCTAACACCTATGCAGAGAAACCTAGGCTGATTACAGGAACAGAGTGGTGAGTCTTCAGATGTCACTTCAGGGAGACTTCTAGTCTGAATGAAAGCACAATCTTTTATCCTAAATATGCTCTCTAATCTTCCTGGAGGATTAGAAAATGGACTAGAAAAAAAAGATTGTTACCCTGACTAGATAGAAGTCTATAACAATGATCTGGGAAATAGATGTGGCAGAAAAAATAGTAATAGTTGGTAAGATTCTATGTATATTTTAAATTCAGTGCTGATGGGACTTGCTGATGGATTGAATATGTGATGAAAGAAAAAACAGAGTAAAGAATAATTCTGAAGGTAGGGGCTTGAGTCATGAAAGACAAGTTTTCATCTACTGAGATGGGGAAGTTTGTGAGATGAGCACAGCTTAGAGACAAGACCATGTCTTACAAGACATACAAATGAAAATGTTGACTAGAAGTTAGACATGTGTTAAAATTCTGTGAAAGAGACTAGGCTTGAGATGTAATGTAAATGTCTTTAATCACAAAAGGAATGAGAACAGAAAAAATGAAAAACCAATGTCCTAGAACTGAATTTTGGAGCATACATTTTAGATGTCCTTTGGATGAATAAGAGCAACCTGCAAAGTAGCTGAGAAGGAATAAGGAAAGAGGTAGGGAAAAAACAAACACAGCAGGCAAAGAGAAATATTTAGAAGTATTTGTTTTGAACTCACCCTTTTATCAATAAAAAATAATAATTTCCATTAGAAATTATTTAACTTTCTTAATGTCTCTTACTGTTTCACTAAAGATAGTTGTTTCCTATGTAAATTAATAATTGTTAATTAATAATTGTAAATTAATATTGATAGATGAATTCAAATATTAGTTTCAGATAGAATTCAAATTGGGATAGGTTTTAAAATAAGCATAATATTTGGGGGAAGAAAGAACCCTATCTGATGCAATTAAATGAATAACTAAAATCAAATTATATAAACATTAATAAATTTAGAAGAAGACTTTCATGAACGCTATATATGAGCAATATTGTTATTATTTTTCACATTTTATGTATTAAATAAAAGTCTCACACCTTTATGCAATTCACAAGCATTGAACAGGTTAAAATTTAACATAAACATGAAATTTGCGTAAACACTGCATGGTAAACTTCGCTTTTCCTGGCAAGCTATCCAAAAATTGTTGTTATTGTCATTAAAAAGTACCATATACATAGTAAAGGCAAATGTGCAACCAAAAGACAAATATGTAAGATATTTTCTTAATTATGCACTAGAACAAAGACGTAATAATAAGAGCTAAAACACCTAAGAAAAATCTTGGAAAAAATAGCATGTGCTTAAGATTAGCCATAAAATGCACAGAATCACAAGCCAGATACAGAACCTACTTGAAAACAACAGATATTCTGTCTAAAAGACCTCAAAGGAACATAAATATTCGTGGAGGAATATTGTGTTTTGAATGGGAATATTTACATCTGTAAAGACAAAAACAACACAAAATCAATATAATTACTTCACTATACTCAGTTTTTAAAAAAAAATTATTTTTTCATTATAATTCACGTACAATATATTAGCTTCAGGTGTAAAACATAATGATTGGACATTTATATAACTTACAAATTGACTACCCTGATAAATCCAGTATCTGCTTGGCACCATACACAGTTATTACAATATATTGACTTTATTTCCTATGCTGTACTTTACATCCCCATGTATTATAGTCAGTTTTTTAAATATGATTAAAAAATTCTACCTCCTTATTTATTTAAACTTCTACCATTTACAGTTATTCATTCTTCCATACTAACTTCAAAATTACTTTATCCAACTTTTTTTTAAAAAAGACCTCCAAAGATTTGTCTGAAATGTATTTAAATGAAGAAAGTGATTATCAACAATTAACAGTTAAGTCATTTGTGATAATTTATGAACACAAACTATAATTTACTGTCACAGGGAAAGGCCTTTGTACCAATAATAAAAATTAAGAAAGGTAGAATGAGATCCAGGTCATAAGGAAATACTGTATACCAAATTATAATGTATGAACTTAATGCATTATTAAAAAGATGAAAAAGTTCCTATGTTGCAATAATTGACCATACCTCAGGAACAACAAGACTCCTACATATAACTTTATACAAAAATAAATTTCATATGGGTTAGAAGTTAAATGCTACAACTGAAACAAACACTTTCAAAGAAAATACTGTATTAGAGAGAACTTAAAAATGCAAACCATAAAAAGAAAGAAAAATCTATTTGTCTTCATTACCTTTTTACCTTAAGAGCTCCCTGGAGAGAATTCTGAAGCTGTCTTACAGCCATTGTGCTTCTCAACTTCCAGCATGCGTTATGTTGGCCAGGGTTCTGCTGGATTCTTTCTTTTATAATCAGGACACCTTTGTACCAGAACATTAGCAAGAGAAAAGAGAGAGACTTCTTTCCACCATAGCCTCAGTTTAAATTCTAGCCTGAAAACACTCAATCCCAGGCTCTGTACTTGCCAGTAAAATAGTTCCACTGATCTTTAGCTCTGGCCCAAATATAGAAGTAATAATAATAAAAATAAAAATAAAGAAAATACAAGATCTGAAAGGGAATCCTCCTTATTAGCAGTAAAATTCCTAATTCAACAGTTATACGTGTCATGGGTTTACTAAACTTCAAATTATTCTCCTCTTTCTTTCAGATACCCTGTTTTATCCAGTCCACATCTTGCTGATTGTTTTAATTTCAATTTTATGTGTGATATTCAGTTTGATTGCTGTGCTCCTAGGCTTTCAATGTTTCAAAATAACAGGTAATTGCTGCAAAAAGGATGGAGTCACTTAGGGCATCTCTTTTTATGTGATGCCCAAGTCACGTGGGGTGCTTAACCAAAGCTGTATGACATTTGTCAATACATGCCAAGCTTTACATAGAATGACTTAGGGCTTGTTTCTCACTTTAGAAGAGTTAGACTTCACACCTGTCAATTATGAGCTTCCCAGGACAAGGCTTTTTGAGGAATGAAGTCAGTATGTCTCCTGAGCTGCTTAGGCCTCCAGTTATTTCTGTGCCCCCAAAGGAGTGCTTTCTGTCTTAGATAAGAATATATTCATTCAAAATGAAATGGATCCAACCTCTGCTTCAGTCAAAATAATTTAGTGATGGATGAATCCTGAGTTTTGTTCTAGGATACACTTCATTTGATCACAATCTTTTTGCCTGCACAGATTCCCATTAATTTTTAAGATACTACCTTCATTTAAGGACTTGAACAAAACTAACATGAAAAAGAAATAGGTCTCTAAACTAATAAATCCTTTTTAACCATACTGTTTCCTTGGGTTTTATGGCTAAACTAAATGACTATATCATTTTTCTTTATGAATATATCATTGAATGGTACAGTGGACCATCAGGTACAAGGATATGACGATGCAAACTAACTCATATACAGTTAACTGCTAGATAAGGGATGTGAATTTGGAGACTGAGTGGATGATTTAATGGAGACGAATCAAAAGAGAAGATACAATCCATTGTGCTCATTTTTTACCAGATCCTTAAGACTTGGTACCATATTTATTCAGCGCCTACCTTATGCTAGACATTGTGATAACCATTTTACAGAATTTATCCAAATTAATCCTAAAGGCAGTGCTATTTTTGTCAGCATTTTTTAGATGAGATGTTGTGGCTCACATAGCTCACAAGTGGCAGAGCCAAGATGGGAACACAGATGCATTTGTCTCCAATTCTCATGCTCTAATCGCTGTGTTTCTCTCCAGTATTTAGTTGCAGGTTTCTGCCTGCACAGCTTATATGGCTGAGGAGGTTATCAACTCACGTGGCAGTCTGTTGCATAGTTATTGTGGGAATTTTCTTTGTTTTGAAAATCTAACCTACTGATACATCATATCTACCAATTAGCTTTTTCCAGCTTCCCCATGAAAGTCTTTTAATGAACTGAGATCATAACTTTACTACAATTGAGTCTCTTTAGAAAGTACCTGATTGTACCTTACTTTCCTCTGGAAGGTGACATAAATCAAAGAATAAATGGATACATATTTTAGTCATATATGGAAAAGCATTTTAATCATATGTGTTTAGCTTATAGAAATCAGCCCCTTGACAGTAGGATTCAAGCTGAAAGGTGTATGTTCAGAGTCTGTGGACACAGCATAGGGTTTTTTTCAGCCAGTTCAGTGTTACCACAGCTCCATCTGGTCAGTCTCACAACCCTCAGAAGCCCCACACATCTGATGAAGTTTCCTAGGGCCTCTCTCCAGGCCCCCAGACAGATTAATCTTGTGCTAGGTTAGGGGCTGAGAGCTAGGAAAGAAACTCTCTGAGCCCTATGAGAGCTACAGATCTAGTTCTGCAAGGCCCTGCCACCACCCACGAGCTAAATGCGCGTCCTCAGCCATAATCCTCTAGGTTGAGTGTGCGTGGGGCAATGACTATGCTTTCTCTGATAATGCTCCTTAGGTCAGTGATGCCCCGCAATGCCTGCATTCCTCATTTGTTAATTCTCTCTCTGTTCTAGCGTCCCGATGTAACGTCATTCATTTGTTGAGCACAAGTGTTGCTCAAATGCTATGTTTTGGAGTCTTTTGTATAGTACCCTCTATGTATATGGTATTCCGGAAAAGAGGTAAGTGGGGTCAGTAATGGCGACTTGCTCTTTTCCTGGAAATCTTGGTTATTTATCCAAAGCTGTGTGACTCTTTCATCATCACCAGGAAGAACAGTGGTTTGGGTGACATTACAGAGGATCAAATTCCAGCACTAAGATTGTTGTGGGTGTCAAGGACTGAAGGTCCTATAACTGCTGCTGATGTTCTCAACTGTGCTTTAGGACATAGGGCCTCCTGCTATAAGGAGGGAACACATTCTGACTCCAGAAAATATGGCTGGATACAACCACTCACTTACTTTAGTGGGGCCACCAATGCTGTCTATTCATGACTCTAGGTCACTGTTTCTTATCTATTTTGGGCTTAGCATCTATATTGAATATATTACTCTGGACATAAATTTTTTCCATTTGAGAGTAATATTCACATATACCTCTTTAGTTTGCATGTGGTTTCAGAAGGATTATGAAACACTGTAATCCTTCCTTGGACTTATTGTCTATGAAATGAGACTATCAGAGGTAAAGTTGGCAGGTTAATATAATAATATTCAAAAATATGATTTTGACAGTTGACAATTCTTTGTTTTTAGCTAGTACATGTTTACATTTACAATTTATTAACAACAAAAAAATCTTTGTAAAAATTTGATTTTCTAAGAGACATAAAATATTTAAAATAATTGCTTAAAATCAGATTGTGTTTAATTGTTACAATTCTTAATTATCTAGAGGATTCTAAAGAAATGGATATACAGGATAATTAGCATTCAACAAAGGAGTAAAACTCTTTGTTTTACTTGAGGCATTGCTTTCAAATCACAGAGAAGTTCAGAGAATTAGGGCGTTCACCAGCAGGACTCTCTGTCCCTCAGTTCCCATCCTCATCCTCATGCTCGGTAAGCCTTGAACAACATACATCAGCCTTTTTCCCAACTCTTTCCAGTGAAAATTGCAAAACCCTGTTTTCAAACTTATCAAACCAGTGGATAAAAAGACCATATTTTTCAGTAATAAAGGAAAATTAATGTTTGTATAAGCAAATCAAGTACCTGGATAAAATGTGGAGAAAAAAACAGTAAACACAAGTCAAATATCCCCTGGAGGTTTTAATTTCAACTAAGTCTCAGTTCTCACTCCTAAAGAGACCAAGGTACAAACCAACTCAACTGTCTCAAGAGACGTCTGAGGCAAATATAAAATATTCCTGATGATAAGTGGATTTTTATGTTTAATGACCACTAGCTGTGATCAGCATTTTAAAAAATAAATACCTAGAAATCGACCTGGACCATGTGTTATGTATATGTTTAACTTTATATCAGCTCAAGTATCTGTATCATTTTACACATCACCAGCAATGGATAAGAGAACATTTATTCCTCGTGTTTTCCAATATTTGGTTCCTGTAGCCTTACTAATTTTAGATTAATGTTTGTAGTGGTATCTCATCTTGGTTTTAATTTGCTTTTTCTAAACACTTCATATAAATGGAATCGGACAATATTTATTCTTTTTTAACTGATTTCTTTCACTTAGCATATTGTTTTAAAAGTTTATTCATGTTTTAGTATGTATCAGTTCTTCATTCTTTTTTATTGCTGAATAATAGTCCATTACATGAATACAGAATGTTTTATTTCTTCATTCTTGAATTAATGTACCTTGAGGTGTTTTCAGTTTTGGCTACTACTGATAATTCTGTTATAAACATTGAGTAAAAAGAATGTGGATATCACTCTGTTTATTTAAATCTTATATAATTGCTTTCAACAATGTTTCATGCTTTGCAGTGTACCACTCTATTTTGTCATTTTAATCCTAGGAATTCTATTCTTTTCTTCATTCTGAAATATAAAGTTCTTCCAATAGTTGACAATATTATTTAGTTTTAGGTGTCCAACATAGTGATTTGACATTTATGTACCTTATGAAGTGATCACCATGAATAGTCTAGTAACCATCTTCCGAGGTTATTATTTTGATATTATTGACTGTATTCCCTATGTTGTATGTTACATTCCTGTGACTTATTTCTGTTATAAATTTGTACCTCTTAATCTCCTTCACCTTTTTGCCCATCTCCCCCATCACCCAACCCCCTGGCAACTGTAAGTTTGTACTGTTTATCTATGAATCTTTTTGGTGTGTTGTGTTTGTTCATTAGTTTAATGATTTAGATTCTAGATGTAAGTGAAATATAATATTTATCTTTCTCTGACTTATAGCACTGAGCATAATACCCTCTAGGTCCATCCATGTTGTCTCAAATGGCAAGACTTCATTATTTTCTATGGCTGAGTAATATTACATTATATATGTGTGTGTGTATGTGTGTATACACAAATAAATATATTTATGTATATACATACATATATACATGTATAAATACATATATATACACATAAATACATATATAAATAAAATCACATCTTCTTTATTCCATTCATCTATGGATGAATACCTAGTTTGCTTCCATATCATGGCTATTGTAAATAATGCTGTAATGAACATAGGGGTGCATATTAGCTTTTCAAATTAGTGTTTTTGTTGTTTTTGGATAAATTCCCAAAACTAAAATTGCTGAATTGTATGGTAGTTCTATTTTTAATTTTTTTGTGGAACCTCAATACTGTTTTCCACAATAGCTGTGCCAATTTACAATACCACAAACAATGCACAAGGGTTTCTTTTCCTTTTATCCACATTCTTGCCAACCCTTGTTTCTTGTCTTTTTGATGACAGCCATTCTTACAAGTGTGAGAGGATATTTCTTTGTGGTTTTTCCTTGCATTTCCCTAATAATTAGTGGTTTTGAGCATCTTTTCATTGTTTGTTCTTCACGTATATGTGTTCTTGGGTGAAATGTCTATTCAAGTCTTCTGCTCATTTTTTAATTGGATTATTTGGTGGGATTTTTAATGCTGAATTTTGTAAGTTCTTTACATATTTTGGATATCAAGCTCTTATGAGGTATACCATTTGGAAATAACTTCTCCCATTCAGTAGGTTGCCTTTGTGTTTTGTTGATGGTTCTTTACTGTGCAAAATGTTTTTGGTTTAATGTAGTCCTATTTATTTATTTATTTATTTTGTTATTCTTGCTCAAGGAGACACAACCAAAAACTTATTTCTAAGATTGATGTCAAAGAATTTTCTGCCTAGGTTTTCTTCTAGTTTTAAGTTGTCAAGTCTTAAATTTAAGTATCTAATTCACTGAATATATTTTTAGATATGATGTAAGAAAGTAGTCCAGTTTTCCCAGCACCATTTATGGAAACTTTTTCTCATTGTATAGTTGTGTCTCCTTTCTTCTAAATTTAATTGATTATATAAGCACAGGTTTATTTCTGGACTCTTTATTCTGTTCTATTGACCTATGTGCCTGTTTTTGTGCCAGTACCATACTGTTTTAATTACTATAGTTTTGTAGTATAGTTTAAAATCAGGGAGAATGAGGTCTCCAGCATCAATTTTATATACTTTTGCTCTGATCTTTATTATTTCCTTCCTTCTACTAACATTGCGCTTTAGTTAATTTTCTTCTACATTCTTTAGGTGTAAGGCTAGGTTATTAAGACTTTTCTTGTTTCTTTGGGTAGGCTGGTGTTCCCATAAACTCCCCCCTTGAAATGGCTTTTGCTGCATCCCACCGATTTTCTAATGTTGTTTCAATTTCCATTGTCTCAAGGTATATTTTGATTTTCTCTTTAATTTCTTCGTTGCCCCATTTGTTGTTTGTTAGCATGTTGTTCAGCCTCCACATGCATTCTTTCCAGTTTTTCTCTTATATTTAATTTCTATTTTCACACCATAGTGGTAAGAAAAAATGTTTGATAGGATATCCATCTTAAATTCATTGGCTTATTTTGTGACCCAACATGTGTTCTATCCTGGAAAATATTTACGTTCACTTAAAAAGAACATATATTCTGTTTGGGGATGAAATGTTCTCTACATATATACTAAGTCCATCTAGTCTAACGGTCACTTAAGGCCAATATTTCCTTGTCTGTTTTGTCTGGCTGATCTATCTATCATTGTAAGTGGGGTGTTTAAGTTCCCTACTATTATTCTATTACTGTCAATCTCTCCCTTATGTCTGTTGATATTTTCTGCATGTATTTTGGTGCTCTTTTCTTGATGCATAGAGTTTACTAGTGTTATATCTTCTTGTTGGATTTATCCCATTATTATTATGCCATACCCTTGTGTCCTGTTACAGTATTTGTTTTAAAGTGTATTTGGTCTAAGTATTCCTACCTCAGCTTTCTTTTCATTTTTGTTTTCATGAAATATCTTTTTCTATCATTCACTTTCAATCTATGTGTCTTTAAATCTGAAGTAAGTCTCTTGTAGGCAGCATTCATCCATTTATATTTAAAGTAATTATTGCCCTGGACAAGTGATTCAGTTGGTTGGAGCATCATCCTATACACAAAAAGGTTGCAGTTTTGATCCCTCGTCAGGACACATATTTAGATTTCAGGTTCCATCCCCAGTAAGGGTGCGTACAGAGGGCAACTGAGTGATGTTTCTCTATATCTATTTCTCTCTCTCCCTTTGTTTCTCAGGTGTGGATAAAAATATATAAAAATAAAGTAATGGTAGGTATGTACTTACTGTCATGTTAATTGTTTTTATACTAGCTTTATAAATTATTAGTTTACTACCTTTATTAACTGTTTGCCTTTACTAGTGAGATCTTTTTTCTTTCATATATATATTCTTATTTCTAGTTTTGGCCTTTTCTTTTCTGCTTAGAGAATTTCCTTTAACATTTCTTAGAATGTTGATTCAGTGGTAATGAACTCCTTTAGCTTCTGCTTGTGTGGGAAACTTTTTACCCCTCCTTTAATTCTAAATGATAGCCTTGTTGAGTAGGGTATTCTTGGTTGTAGATTCTTTCTTTTAATCACATTGAATATATAGTGCCCCTCCCTTCAGGCCTACAAAATTTCTGTTGAAAAATCAGTTGATAGTCGTATGGGCAGTCCCTTGTATGTGACTAGTTGCTT